TCAGAAATCACAGCTTCACATCCAGATGTTTCCTCAGAAACCACAGCTTCACATCCAGATGCTTCCTCACAGACCTCAGCTTCACATCCAGATGTTTCTTCTGAGACCACAGCTTTGAACACTGTCTCATCCCATCCAGCTGTGTTTGTCTCTGACCAGTCAGACCATCAGCTGAGAACTGGAGCTTCAGTGCAGCCAGTTTCCAGCACGGCGTGGTTCCTGACTGGAAGCCAGTTTGGTTGGACTGGAACTGCAGCTGAGACGCTGGTTCCGTCAGCAGCACCTCCAGCCACTGGCAGCAGCTCCGTCTCACCTGCAGCTCCAGCAGCAGATGTATTGGAGGCAGAAGGTCCGGAGTCCCCGCCCACTGCCACAGGCTCCGCCCTCCACCCAAACCACTCAGTGACTGAAGCAGCGCCACCTTCACCATCATCCGTCGGTACGAGTCCAAGCACAGCCACTTTGAGCTCTGCTGTATCCAAGCCTGTTACCATAACAACTGCCACCTTCAAAACCACCCCCACGACAACCATCACCTTGACAACAGCTGCCATCACAGCCACAGCGTCTCCTACAGCAGCTGCACCAACCACCTCACCTCCAACTACAAGCAGCAGCTCAGCATCAACTAGCTCACACGTAAGCTCCCTGTTTGTAACTAACAGCTGTTTCATGTCACATGAAGCCACGTTCATGGTTCAGGATCTGCAGCTCCTCAGTGAAAGTCCGCCAACAGGAGCTGAACACTGCAGCAGGTTACATTGGTTTTTACGTTATTTAACCTGTATTTAACCCAGACGTCCCTCAGGTTCAGATCCGTCTTAAGGGACAAAAGGGAACAACGTTACACGGACACAGAAGATGATTCCAACACAGAGACAGGCGTTCTGCTGTTTCCCTAATGAAGACCAACAACCAGATCAGAGTCTGAACTGAGTCCGACATACACGCAGAGCTGGTACACCGATACAGTCTCAGAAAAATACTGGTTCTTAAATTGTTCTTCAGAAGGTTCTCGGGTTCTTCAAAGCTCCATCACCAACTGAAGAAGCTGTCTATTTCGGTGATGGTTCCTCCCCTATCCTCTGTGGGTCTTTAGTGGTTCTTCCTGGAGGTCTTTGGTTTGGGGCTTTAGTTCCCCTAAGCAGCAGTTGTGGGTTCGACTCCTGCTCATGACCCTTTGCTGCAGGTCTCCCCCGTTTCCTGTCTATCTCTGCTGCTCTAAAATAAAGGCAAAAAATATATGAAAGGGAAAAAAAAGAACCATGTAAAAGAGGTGAAGAACCATCCCCTAAATGAGTTTTTTCAGTTGGTTATAGAGCTTTGAAGAACCACAAGCTCCAAAACATGGAGAAAATTCTCTACACACAAGTCAGTAAATGTACCATCAACCAGCTGTAGTACCTGGTTGTTCCACCAGGTGGAGTCTCTCCCTGTTTAGTCCTGTAGAGACCAGAGGAGGCGTCACTCAGACTCCAGCTCATGGTGGCAGCAGAGAGCATTGTGGGAGTTTAGCAGCAACGGGACCATGACAGAGACTCTGAGGAGGTTCAGGACCTCCGACCAGAGCTTAATTGTTTAAGATAAAACACTGGTATTGTGTGTGTGTGTGTGTGTGTGTGTGTGTGTGTGTGTATATATATATATATATATATATTTCACTGTCGCTATCAATAAAGGTGGAAAAGGCCAAAAATAAATCTTAAAAAAAAAAAGCTGCTCGTCTTTGATTGAGCAGGTCACTGACATTGTGCTGACAAAAGCTGATACCAATCAATTAAAATGTCCTCATTAGCATCGTTCCTGATCTTCTGGATCAGAACGTCTGTGGTCTCCGACCTGCAGTCTGTGATAAGCAGAGCTCTGACTGTTTACTGGTTCAGAGTGTGAATGTAGTTCGGTTTGAATCCCTCTGCAGAGCTGATAAATGTGCAGAATGAGAGAAGTTCAAGCTGCTGGCTGCTGCCTCCAGCATGAACTCGTCTATTATTAGAGGTTCTGGAGGTGAAGCTGCTTCCTGACCGGCTCTGATAACAATAGTTGGTCCAGTCGGACTCAGGAAGGAAAGCAGGGTGTGGTGCTGTTCTGCAGATCCATCAGAGCAGTCTGATCTGAGGCAGGATGCAGCACAATGAGCTGCTGGATCACTTTATAGCGTGCTGCAGAACCCGGCCGACACTTTCACACATGCCAGCTGCATCCTGAGAGGAGAACCAGGTTCTGACCGAGTTCTGGACTCTAGTCCTCTTTATGTCAGAGGAAACTTAACACCATAAATGATGCCGCGATGCTGCCATGTTTGGTTCTGGGTTTGTTCTGGAGCATAAAGAAGGTGAGTGAACAGAAAAACTGAGAACTGACGTCCAGGTGTCGGTGACCAATGAGAGTTCAGCAGTAGAGGCTGGGTTCATTTTTAACCCAGCAGTTCTTGGAGTGCATTCTTGAGGTTTTTTGTGTTATTTACTTTAAAATAATGAATTATTGTATGTATGTATTTGATGGAGAGTGTCTCTGTTTACTGATGTGACACCTGTCCAGGTACAAACCTCCGCCTCCCCTCGCTGCTCCGCTCAGCTGACGGAGATCAGCAGCAGCTTCACCTCCGCCGTGGTCAGGTTAATGTCCGCCGGCATGAACTGCCACTTCAGCCTGGTGACCGAGGTGGACCCTGCTGCCTCCCAGGTGGACCCTGCTGCCTCCCAGGTGGACCCTGCTGCCCTCTGTGAGCTGGATGGAGAGTCCGCCTCCATCTGCCGGATCAGTGGGCTGGAACCCGGCACTTTGTACTGGCTGACAGTGGTTTCCAGGAAGGACGGAGTGAGGAGCAGTGGGTCGGTGCTCACAGGTAAGAACACACCAGAGGATCCACACACCTGCACCTGTGACATTCTGCTGCCGTGACCTGGTTTCATTGGACTGATCAGGTGTAATATTTTCACATTAAAGAGAATGAACATCAGGACAGTTTGAATCTGCCTCTGTCTGTCAGTAATCGATAATCAATAATAACTGTTGTCAGTACCGGTTATTGTTTATATTTGGGTCGGGAGACCGACACTCGATGCTTCAGCTTTTATTCATGGAAAGTTCTTTCATCAAACATCCTCTCTCTCTCCCTCTCCTCATCTGCTCTGTCTCAGACCCGGTCGGCCCAAACCATCTGGAGATCCAGCCTGACCCGGTCCACAGTGGGTCCAGTCTGCAGGTGTCCTGGTCTCGCTCTGTAGGTCACGTGGACTGGTACGATGTGACTCTGGAGGACAGCAGCTCTGGATCCATCCTCAGAACCAGAATCCTGGACTCTGCTGCCCCTCAGTCTGGATTCAACTCTCTGACCCCTGGAACTCGGTACACCGTCAGCGTGGTGGCTTCATCCGGGAGAAAGAGCGCCACACCTGTCCAGGCCACTGCCGCTACAGGTGAGA